TGTGTGTGTGTGTGTGTGTGTGTGTGTGTGTGTGTGTGTGTGGGTGTGTGTGTGTGCATATGAGTTGATAAAATGCTTCACACCATCTGTTCCACATTATTACAAGACAGATTTATTCACACATTATGCCGTGCTTCAACTAAGAGTTGCATAACTAAAAATAATGACAGTAATGTGTAATACTCAGTTATAATTACCTTTTTTAATGAGATGCTGTTAAAAGCTTGCAATGTTCTATTTAAATAAYATATAATTTGATTTTGTATGCTTTTAATGTAGTTTAGTTTTAATACAACGAACTGACAGCATGAATGGGTTTTTAAAGTACAAAGCATTTTCATGGATTTGCTGACATTTATTGTTTTKCTCTGTTCAGGTTCTTCCACCTGCATGATGTCAGAGTGGATTACGTGGTCTCCGTGCAGCATGTCCTGTGGGGCAGGCACACGTTCCCGGGAACGTTACGTGAAACAGTTCCCCGATGATGGCTCTGTGTGTACTGTGCCCACACAAGAAACGGAGGGCTGTGTGGTTAACGAGGACTGCTGTGAGTTTGGTTCTTGTCCATTTACAAAGCCTTCGTTAACTTAATGTGCACAATTTTTTTGTGTTTTTACATGACGTTGTGTTCTCTTCGTGACCTTAGTGCCCAGCAGTTGCCTGGTTACAGAGTGGGGTGAATGGGACACGTGTAGTGCTACTTGTGGTCTTGGCATGAAGAGGAGAGAGCGCTTGGTGAAGATGCCTCCTGCCGATGGCTCCATTTGTGGAGCAGAGGTTCTGCAAGTGGAGAAGTGCATGATGCCAGATTGTCGTGAGTAGCAATGATCTATGTACCTCAACTGTCCCGACTTCTCTTAAACTACACATCTATGAGATGAAATAAYACTTTTTTGTGTTGCTGCTTTGAGTTCCAATTCTTAACAACATTTAAACATCTTACTGAGTGACTTATGTTGTAAATAGATACAATCCCATGCCTGCTGACCCCGTGGTCAGAGTGGAGTGACTGCAGCGTGACATGCGGGAAGGGTCTGAGGACACGACAGCGCATGTTCAAATCTCCTGCAGAGCTGGGAGAGTGTACTGAAGAGGTAGAACAGGTGGAGAAGTGTATGCTGCCAGAGTGTCGTAAGTAACAAATATTCTCATCTGCACTCCCACACACTAATTATGTTCTGAAGTATTTTATGAAACTGAATAGTAATTTTACATTTTGTTAATGAAACCTTATTTTCTTATACAGAAGTGAGCACAAMTGATGAGAAAGTTTGATTACAGCACCTCTATTTTGTTTAAATATCTTTGGAATCTGGTGTGTATTGGTGTCATTCAAAATAAAATTAAACCATTTCTAGAAAAAATTGGTTGAATATTTTCAAAAGTATGTTTTGAAAACAAACAAATAAATAAATAAAAAAAACATCCAAAATCCTTTTGGTTTTGTGCTGTAAGCTTCTTTTAAAAAAGTTGTTCCATAGTTTCACGTCGCCCTCTGTTCTTGTCCGTGTACCCAGCCATAGACTGTGACATGTCAGAGTGGACCGAGTGGTCCGAGTGCAATAARTCCTGTGGGAAAGGTCACACGATTCGGACTCGCATTGTGATGATGGAGCCCCAGTTYGGAGGAGACCCCTGTCCGGAAACTATCCAGAGGAAGAAATGTAAGATTAGAAAGTGCAACCGAGGGCAAGGCAACGTTGAGGAGAAGAGACGACGCAAGGAGCAGCGTGAAAAACGGAGGAGCAAACAAGGCAGGGCTGAGGGGAACACCGAGCATCCAGGTTGGTATTGGCACTCCTGTAAGTGAAATACAGTCAAACGTACTGCTGTCTTTGTCCTTCTTGTAAACCTGTTCATTTGAATCATTTTACCATCAGGGTGTAGAATGAGACCGTGGTCAAGCTGGACAGAATGTACCAAACTATGTGGTGGAGGTATTCAAGAACGACTCATGTCAGTAAAGCAGAAGATTAAGACTGTCCAGCTGTCCAGCTGCAAGGACAGGAAGGAGATCCGAGCKTGCAATGTCCACCCCTGCTAGGAAGTTGAGAGCGAACRGGGCGGCTGACAAGAGGAAGGCTGGAAATTGAACTGACAGTGGGGACTGGGAACAGCAGAAGGAACACTGTTGCACAATGACCCAATGCACTCTGTTTAGGGCTGAAATGACACATTTTTAAATTTTCATGGGGCAAATCCAGAGCTCAGGTCAATTGTTAAATGAAAATGAACTACATGATCTCTTTAAAAAAAACTCTGGATTCAATTTTGGTTTAACCTGCTGTGCTTTTAAATTAGCTCTGACACACATGTAACTTTTTTTTTGCAACATTACTGTAAACTTGTTGTGGTATATGTCTTGAGAAATATAATTACGAATGATGAACTGATAAAACAAAAAGAAAAAGAACTGTTAATCTTGTGGTGTCCCTAAACAACCCATTCTCACTCCCAAGTCGTCACATATTGACACTTTTCCAAGGTTCCCTCTGCGTCCAATTTTGACGCGTCGGGTACCCCCCCTCACGTCAGTTATTGACAAGATGGGGCGGAATACGCTGTCATAATATCAGAAAATGTAGAAAATGCACCAAAACTACTGTCTTAAAGCCTAAAATCACCTTTATTCACTTTAGACATGCTGTCCCTGACCCTAGTATGTAAAATTAACCATTTTTAGAAATTGTAGGAAATTAATGTGAACCACGTGTTCCAAAGCCTAAAATTACATAAYATTCGCCCAAGACATGCTATCCCTGACCCCACTACCTAAAATTAACCATTAACCCTGATCCCTAAAATTAACCACAGACCCCAAGTCAAAGACCCCTATATTTTGCGTCTCAACGCATCAAACCCGGACGCCAAGGGAACACGGAAACGCTTGGTACATCAAAAMCTGATGCGACAGGYGTACCTGAAGCGTCAAAATAAGAYGCAGTGGGGACCTTGGAAAAGCGTCAATATGTGACGAGTCGGGACTGAGAATGTGTTACCCTAAATACATAAGTATATTCCAGACTTTAAAGCACAGGGGCCCAATGATTCCAATGTTTTATATGCCTCCATTTGCTCAGTTGTTTGTAGGAAACATCATTTTGTTATCTTTCTTTTTAAAGGCCACTAAATTGTTGTCTATATACTTGCATCAAGATTGACATTTTTATGATTTAGGACATTGTTTTAAAGCATTGTTTTTTTTAATAAGAATGTGTGAAGATTCCTACCAAAGTCTTGTGTAGCTGTTTTCTAGATRTATGTTTTTTTCTTTATTGTTGTCCCTCTAACACATTAATATTTTGAAAAAAATATTACCTTTACAATAAAAGTAAATGTGACAAGTTGTCACATGGATTTGTCTTTTTTTGTGGAGATTACAAAGAAATAAAGGTGGATTTTGATTCATACTTTGGCTGCCACTAGATGGTGATAACAAGCTTATATCATATATTGCTCATTCCTGAGACTGTAACATCTGATTTTCTGCTGTCCATGTAGATAACTTCTTAACAACAAAATGRCTAAATAATAAGTTGAATATTATCCTTTATATATATACAGTATATATACATGTTGCTAAAATGTATTTATAAATACATGAAACAGATTGTTAAACTATCATAAATGGCAAACCTAGACAAAAAGACAACAAATGTTGGTAACACATTTGAAGCAGTGTGCATAAGACTAACATGACACATAAACATGAACAACACCTGCCATGAACATGAAGGAGGCTTCATGAATGTCTGTGACTTGACATTAAGTGTCATTCTGTAAATTATGACACATTTAAGGCAAAGTTAACATGGTTTAAAATGTCTTGGTTGTGACAACTTGACATTAACCAAGACAAACATGTATTTATGACAACTTGACATTGGTATGATATGAGACACTGCCTCGCCAAATAAATAAATAAATAAATAAGGTCACACACTAATATTGTGTTGGACTGCCTTTAACTTTGGTTACAGCATCACTGTGGCATTGTTTGGATAAACTTCTGCCATGTCACAAGTTTTATTTCCATGCAGTAATGCTTTTAAGTTTTCACCAAGATCTTGGATTGATGATGACAGAGTCTGACCAGTGCACAAAGCCTTCTTCAGTACATCCTAAATAWTCTMAATGGACTCTGTGGTGGCCAGTCCATGTGTGAAAACAATGTATGCTCCCTGAAACCACTCTTTCACAATTCCAGCCCAATGAATCCCRGCATTGTCATATTGGAATATGCCTGTGCCATCAGARAAGAAAAAAAAATCATTGATGGAATAACCTGGTCATTCAGTATATTCAGGTAGTCAGCGGACCTCAACCTAGACCTGACCAACTGCAGCAACCCCAAATTATAGCACTTAGTTATTAAATTCAGATGGTGACTTTTTCCTGTTTGTCTGGGTTGTGTATCAAAAGATACTCATGGTATTTACAGTCGTGATTGTATCACATTATATGATTTCTTGGTTAAAGTCAAGTTGTCAAAACACATTTTAAACAATGTCAGTGTTGTATAAGTATCATAACTTACCGAATGACACTTAAAGACAACAGTGATACACATTCATGAAGCCTCCTTCATGTTTATGACAGTGTCATGTCGGTCTTATGCACACACCTTCAAAGAATGTGTTATCTAATTCTTTTTGACAAGAATGTTCTGATATAAGTGGACTTTTTAATTTTTAAAACCTATTTAATCATTTAGTCTATTCTCATTAACTCAAGTTGTAAAGTTGAAGAGTTTCTATGTTCACGTGGTGACAGGTCTGGGGAGATTCTGCTCTTCTTCGCTCTTGTGTAGTGAGTGAGTGTGAGAGGCGGTCTCAGGCTTTCTTTACTATGGAGCTTTGGGACGGGGTGGAAAAAAATTCAAAACACACATAACAATACCACTCCTGTTTCCATGCCAACACAAGCACACATAGGGGAAACCTACACGCTTCACMGGCAGTGGAAGCATGCAGGGAAACTATTATAAGCACAAATGGGATGTTAAAACACAAATTGCTCGGAGACTATAACATGAMGTGAATGGGTTGACTGGTTGAGACAATATACAGCTTTAATCTACCTTGTGTCGACCCTTTTTACAACATTGAGAAATACATCCATAAGATCCTGTTTTACAGGCACAGACGTGTACAGTGATTTTGGAACCAAAGTCTGCACACTAAGGAGGTGTTTTTTTCATTCCACAACCCCACACTGAGTCATAGTATTACATGATTTTTTTAGCATGAAATAACTAATTAAACTGAAACTTATTAATAACAATAAATATTCATGACCCATCACATCAAACCAAGGATTAAGTCAAATTTGGTCAAAATGACAGAAGCACATTTTCAGATTCCTGCTTTTAAGCTACATTTTAATACGTAGATCCTCCTGATTTTATGTGTGGTTCCAGAAATACACCTTCATCTGTCTTGTTAATCACAATAATACATTTTGTTTGGTCTGAATCCACTGTTTATGTTATTTTAATGGGAATTTTTTGATGTCATTTTAAAGAGGAAACCTCAATTGAGATTTCTCAGCTCGAAAAAAAAAAGCTTTGATAGCGCACAGCTCAAAAAGATGCTTCAAAAATGCTATACGATTATATTTTAGACAGTTCATTCCAATGATCCATTGGTAACGTGTTATATTATGACAAAAGGCAAATATTGCAGACATTTTAATCAATGCTATAGCTGCCTATACYGCTTTGGGACTCAATCCTCAGTTTRATATGATAACCATATATAGCTGCARGTTAAGACGTATGTCAATCAATAACTGAAAAATAAAGGACAAATTCTGAGGTGTATGTTTTATTTTTTACTTTATCAAGCTAGGTGTGGGTAACATTATTACCCACACTTTAAATTTGATGAGGGTTGTATKGTAGTGGAACAGCATGAGGCCAGGAGGTTGTATTGTGCCGCCTGGCATGTAAGACATGCCACACAAATGAAGCATTACAAAACTCCATGACATTTTAATCTGCCAGCCAGGTAGGTATTCTGGAGTTATGCACATGAATGAAGAGGAATGAAATTCAGCTGTAGCAAGAGAGAGTATGTGTGTGAATGAGAAGGAGGGTGGTGGAACAGTGAGGCTAAAAGGAGCAGAGGTCACAAAGGTGCAGGTCTTCAAGTACTCAGGGTCAACCTTCCAGGAACRTGGGGGAGGGTGGTAAAGAGATGAAGAAGAGAGTCAAGACAGGATGGAGTGAATGGAGAAAAATGTAAGGAGTGATTTGTGACAGAAGGGTGGCRGCAAAGGTCAAAGAAAAACCTTTACAAGAGAGTAGTGAGACCAGCTATGGTTTTGGGACAGCAGCGCTAACAGAAAGAGCTGAAGATGTTGAGGTTCTCCTTGGCAGGAATGAGATCATCAGATGTGCAGTGCAGCTTGAACTACTGAGAGATAAAGTTAGAGAGGAGGAACAGTGGGTATGTTGATAGAAGCCTTAGAGATGCAGCTGCCAGGAAAAAAAGACAAACAGTAGATTGATGATGGAGTTAGAGAGGACATGGATTAGTTGGAGTAAGGACAGAGGACGGAGTGAGGAAGAAGAGAGAGAGAGAGAGAATGACTTGCTGTGGTGACTCCTGAAGAASGAACAGCCAAAATAAGCAGGGATTGGATTTGCTCTGTAATAAATTGTGCATCCGCAGTACCACAGATGAGTGTTGTGTAAAAACCAACCCTGTTAATGTTCTTAAGACATACATTGATGTTAAATCTGGTACTATGGGAAGCTTGGGTATAATTTCAAGTCTTCTGACGATTCAATGGACCCTGTTGGTGCAATGCCACATCAATTACAGTACATCCTGTATCCACATGTTTTACTCGTCCTGAGAGAAAACCCTTTCAACAAGACCACACCCATCCATACWCAGCACATGTGTTTCAGAACTGCCCTCTCAGATCCTCATATATCCTCCTGTGGCCAGCCAAGCCCACCAATATTTCCTCCATTATATGTGTGGGATCAGCTTGGTTGTCAACTTTGACTCGGTGCTGGTCTGCTGGATTTCARCAGCCAGTTACTGCAGCTGCAGGCTACACGAGAGGATACAATAGCTTTATGACTCCGTTACACATCAAATTGCCCCTAGTATCCTGGCCCAAAGGGGCCGCTCACAGGATCAGGCATGTGCTTGAACTGACTACTCAGTTGGATCAGTATCTGTTTCTGATCTGATCTGATAATTATAGCAATAGCYACATTACCTAATACCAAGTTTCATCAGTTTCATTTCATTTCCAACTCTGTCTGGGCATTTGATCATTTTTGAACAATCTATAATCAACATGCATTATAAAATAGTTTTTGAAACCTTGCTGCTCAGACAGTGCAGAGCATTACCCACTTTACAATTCACGTCTGAACATTTATAATAGTTTTTGTGACATTTTTACGAAGACATTTGGGGGGTTTTATGTAGAGATTTGCTGTCATTTCCTGCTGTTTTGTTGGTTTACAAGGACCAATAAAAAGTGAACAACTTTGTGTTTTCTGGGAGGCTTACGATCTTTTTTTAAACTGAGAGGTGGGTATTGTACTATARGATGACAGCTAAATCATTTCAGTTTCTCTGCTCTCTACTTGCTGATTTGATCTTTCACTTACGTTGCACTCTGATGTCTTGTGAAGAAAATTGTCTTTCTGATACATTTTTTCCCTCTTGATGTTTAAGATCTTCATCGTGTCCTTGGGTTTTTTTTCTTTTTACATCAAAACAAGTTGTATATGATCACTGCAGCCTTTCTTAATATATGTTTTATTTATATTTCCTAGTATTCAGGTAGCTTAACAGGTGTTCTAATTTATATTTGACTGATTTTGATTAGGTAGTCGCATGATGTGATCCAAACAAATCAAAAGCTGACTTTTTAAAAAATCTATTTTGCCTTGCACCATACAAAGTGTTTAAGTTTGAGAAAGAAAAAAACCATTGACAGTTTAGGGTCAGCTTGAGAACAGTGAAAGAAACATTTACTTGAACCAAATACTTGTCAACAATAAACAAAATAATAAATGCATGAAGTTCGTGGATCCATGTTTAAAACACTCATATGATCCATTATATATTTTTGAATATATAAGAWTCTCCTTAATTTTATATAAATCTTATTTTTTATTGTTTTATAAGCAGGAATACATTAAAGTAATAAAAAGATGTGTTCAACTCGGATAGTGTCGTCAACTTGTTTTAATTAAATTCACTTGCAAAATCTTTAGGCTGAAAGTGAATCACTTATTCTTTGCAAAACATGAAAAAAGAGAGAGATAAAATTCTGCTACAGAAGTTATGGTTTTATTTTAAGTAAAATAAACTGAAGTAGAATACAACTGTTTTACTTTAATCTTGTACGCACAYGGGAAATATAGAATTTCATAAACTRTTAAACCTTARAAGTAAAAACAATAAGGTGGTGAGCCTGGACAGCCTCTTTTCTACAAATTTATAGGGCTATGCAACAATCAATAAACTCCG